TTCGTGAACTCGGCAATATTCTGAGGATCCTGAAAGGAGCAAATTATTGTGTAACAAGAAAAATTAAAACGACGTGAAAAATGGCGTTGTTCGACTCGGGAGGGCATTTTGTATTTCGTTAAACCCTTTTGCCAGCTCCTGTTGAATTGCACTTTGTATTTTGGTGAGATTTGTAGGCTCTTGTCAACTGCAAACGAACCTCCTCCTGGACACAGCCAGGAATTTACAGATCTCGATAAGAGGGATGGAGCTTATCGTAGGAACCAGCGAAGTGCCCCTATCAAGACGAACTGCGTACAAAGAACGGCTTATGTCAAGGCAGTGTACAGCTGACATCGTCAAAGTCTGCCGGGAGATGTCAAGAGGCGTGGAATCAGCCCACCCGCGACGTCTCACACCGATGGTGGTTTTTTACCTGAGCAAGCCACCATTGGTAGGAAACGCGAATCCCACGTCTTCTGCTACCGCCCCCCCCCCCCAATTACGACGACATCAGCTGCATATTATGATCATTCATGCATCAGGTCAGAGAACTACATGTTGGGAGATTGTACAAGCTAGCGAGTACTTTCTAGTTAGTTAACTCGACATGCTATAGTACTGCGGCTCGGAATGCCGCCGTCGTCGCAGCGAAGATCACCAGCAGCGTGTTGTACCTGTCCGCCTTACCAAGCCGCAACGAACGAGGCGTTGTAGGAAGGGTTACAGCAGGTGACTTGTGGGTTAAAGGCATAAGGTACGACAGCGGGTTTTGTTGAGAAATAGCAGCAGGGGATCTGCAATATAGTGGCCGGGAACAAACGACGACAAGAGCAGCAGTTAGACGGCCCGGAAAAACCTCACAGAGACCTGCTTTGCACGACATTGTGGGCGAAGTTCCCGTTGGTCAAGTGCAAACGGGCTCGTGTCTGCCATCTTGGGCCGGGCTGTTTGCGATAGACGTCACCATTGTCAGTCGCGCCTGCGAACCTTGGTAACGCTGCCTAGGTTGGCAAAAGGCAACATGCTGCCCCACCCTGGCGACAGGCACAAAATCCATTCGTCGCTGGGCGTCATCCAACCCCTGTATGCGTCTGCGCAGTTAAAGGCAGCGTCCGCGATCAACCAAAGTGAAAAAACCCTCCAATGAAAACGAACGCGGAGTTCGCAACCATAGCGGATATCCCACTCTTGCGGCTCGAAATGTATTGATTGACGAGGGCGGAGTCAACAAGGCTGAGCTGACGCCTCCTTCCCTGTTAATCCCGCCCCGACTGGTTAACAGTTATCAGTGCTTGCTGGCATTGATAAACGCTAAGTTTCTGGAGTTCCGAGGCCGGCGACGTGTATTGGAGAACTCACCAAAGGTCTGCGAAACTCGTCCACATGCCTTAAATTTCGTAGGGTCTTATTTCACGCTCTTCCACACCTTTTTCCTACTTTTTTGATTAGTGCTTCATTGGCCACCTGTTCTAACAAATTTGACCCCTGAGACCTGCCAAAGTCCATCGCGGGCGCTGTCTTTAACAAGGTGCAACTGCGTATTTGAGGATCAAGCCCAACAGGACTAGACGAAAGCGTAAACCTCACCCCTCTCCCCACCCCCTGAGTAGGACAGCCCCAACAAGGTGAGAATGCGGTCACGATCGATGCCTGTCACAGAAAGTCAGGAAGAAACATAGTGACGTGAGCAGTCAGCTACAGTCTGTTACTCTTTGGACGAAGGGGCGTTACTACGGCCACGTAGGCGGGCGCTCTGACGGCTGCGTGTCGGTGCAATGGCCGATCGTCCGACAGCGCACTCATCATGTCGCCGTGTCCGCCCAGCTCTGTCATCGACTTGTTCTGATACACACGCCGGCGCGCTATCTACTCACTTCCTCCCTCTGGACTCTCGCGCTCCCGCAGCGCGATTGATAATGCGCTCAATTAGCTGATTTCTCTTGTCGGCCTATGAAAGGATGCAAATTATTCTTCGTCCGGCTCTTATCAGAAAGGGTGAATATGTTTCACTGAAGCTACATTTTATTTCACATAAACTCAGCATGATATTATCATTGAAAATTGTTTCCCTATCAACTATTTCCGCCTTTTTTTGGTTTTTCTCGAGGGTATCTATTAAAGTTCAATGTATGTGACCAGTAGGCTGCAGAATAATCTGTTCGAGCAGAACATTACTTTCTGTTATTGAAGCCGGGAGAAGAACAATGCAGCTTTTGGAGTTGAATCTAGCAAAAGTCAGCTCGTCAGAAATTATCGATCGGTGAGAGTCCAGACGGGAGAGTGCGTAAATAACGCGTCGGTGTGCGCATGAGCCCAGAATCGATGTCAGAGAGCGCTGAGGCAACCATGCCACGGACAAGCAGCCGTCGGACCGCTCGCCCAACGTTGACGCAGAAACGCCCCTTTGTCGGAAGGAAGAATTCTGCAGACAGATGGAAACTGCCAATGTTTTCATATTTTAGCCTATTGACGAATTGTTTTTTATAAGATTAGCTTCATAGAAGAGATTAGAAGGAACCAACCTTGTAAGCCTCGCTGTTATCAGGTAATTTGTCCGTGAAGTTCCGCAGCTTTTGCACAGAAGGCGCTAAATCATTTGTTAGTACAAAAATGTAGCGCTAGGCCCGGACATGACGTCGAACAAAGATTTCTTGTAGTACTCAACTCACCCGCCACCAACAAGTGCGCGATTTCGGGGAACTGTCCAGCGAAGGTAGCGGCGTCTCCGAAGCTAAGATGCTGGAAGAAATTCTCATTGAGAGAGTCAAAGCTGTTCAAGGCCTCTTTACTTACCCGTAGTCCGTCGAAGAACTGTTTCGCCTTCTGCATCAGTAATGGTATATTGTAGCGATGCTTGGTCAACGCAATGAATTCGTTCACCCACTGGAAAGATCATTTCAGGACCAACCAAAATTTTCCTTATCAAAGTTTCTCATTTTCGTTCCAGCTCATTGGGACGACACTTAATGCAGTACTTGTTTTTTGTCCACGCGTATGCGTGTAAGGGTGAAAGGGCTCCACTAACGAGAACGATATTGACCCACCTCAATAGTGTAAGCTCTCGCTCCTGGATCGACTTTACTAAGTTTCTCTGAATATGTAATATACATATTCAACAACGTGGGTACAAGAGTGGGTGCATTCTGAATGGTCAGCGATTACTACGAGGAACATGAAATAGCCTTCCACTACATAATTTGAATGAAACTATAACATTTACTCCCAGTGTGAGTGATATTGTGGCGTCAGAAGGGCGTGCCTACGAACTCGGTTGTATAAGATGCTTACAACTAAGTGGAGCGCGGCAACATTATGCCACACTACCAACATTGCCCCCACATCTACGTCCGTAGTCGCAACCTCTCCAAGCGTTGCGATATGAATTGTAAATGTATGTGAGTTACCATAGGCAAGACATGTCCCTGGGAGAAATTTTTACGAAATACCTGCACTGCGCCTTTCTCATCCTACCTACCAACTTAATGACTTTCGCCACTTCCAACCACTTTTTCCAAGAAAAAAAATTCCAGTTTCTCTCCCCAAAAACCTGCCATAGAGGGCGAGGCAGGTCGCCTTCAGTTCACCAAGTGCAGTTATCGAAAGTAGTAGTTGTAAGATATTTTGACTGCGTCGCCAACTGAAGGGGGTGTGGGAAAGGGACAAGCAAAATAGCCCCTCCGCTGCCAATGGGACCTTTCCCAACGTTGTGGATAGGGCGGTGAAACAGGTGAAAGCAGCTATTAGAAGAGATTATTCAGGCCTACGACCCTTTCTTCCCAGCAATAAAGTACCGCTTCTGCTCGGAATCCCCCAGAGTGCCACGTGCCGTGACCGAGATGGTCATACATCACATCATTTCTTTCATAATAACAATAAACCTCTTGCAAGCTCTTCAGTAGCTGGAACTTGTCCGTTACATTTATTTCTCCCTTATTCCATTCGTTCAAGAAATTGACGAATTGCTGTTTTTCTTGTTCAGTGAAGTGCACGATCGGGTCGGCGACAAAGGCGGGAACATACTCTGAAAAAAAACAGCGAAATTCTTCCCGGGATCAGAGTGTTCGAGTGAGGAGATCCACATTGCTGCGACGCTGCGATTATGGTAGCACTGCAAACGTCGGCACGCGTACCGCAGTGGAACGGGCCCTAATTGGTTCAGTTGAAATCAGTATTTACGCAGAGCTAACTAGTTAGGAGGAACTCATTTGTGCGCGTCGCTGCAAAATGGGTTTCCCCAGACCGCATCCGAAATGAGGAGATTGTAGTGCGAGTCTTTTTAGACACAGGGGCGTTCCTGGGTCCACGTTAGCAAGCGGTTTGACTGCTGCGTTTCGGTGGTCTGCTGGACGTGTGGGACAGTTATTATCACGCCTCTGTGTTCTCTGACATCGACTGTATGTTGATACGCATGCTGGCGCGCTATCTACTTACTCATCCGTCTGGACTCTCGCCCGCCGGTGATTACGTGACATAATAAAACTTTTGGTGGGGGTCACTCTACGAAAGGCAAGAGGGCAGAGAAGGAAGAAATGTGAATGATTCATATTGTGCGTGAAAAGTTGGAATGTGAGAGGCCAGAGCAATCACGAACGTCACACAGACGTGAGAGCGCAGAGAAAACTGAAAGTTGGTGTCATCAAAGGGGCTGATGCTTGCTTTTCGTGGTTTCCTGCTCCTTGTTGTTCTATATACTGTAGCCCCCTCCGCTCGACAGCAGAATATTCGGGAAATTTCGGAAGAAGTGGAGAGAAAATCCAAGAAACGGTAGAGTGAAGGGTCGTATTTTCCTCGCGGCGATGAGGAGGGAGTATGTTTCACTGAAGCTGGGTTTTCTTTTGCATGATGCCGCCTTTGCGATCTCACTTCTTCTCGTAATTTTCGACTTTCCTGAATTTTTCTGGAATGTGTTTGTTTCATTTCAATGTAACTGGCTAGAATCACGCAGAAGAATCTAGTTTCAGGAGAAACACACTTCTTATCCTTACGAAGCCTGGAGAAGAATCTTCAGCTTTCACAATTTGAAAACTGCAGATATCAGTTGCCTGAGCTCATCAGCGATGCGACGCCGGCAGGCGAGGGTCTAGATGGAGGAAGTGGCTTAGAGAGCGGCGCCGGCGCGGAGGCGATGTCCGAGAGCGCTGAGGCAGCCATTCCACCTACGAGCAGGGCGCTCACCAAAGTGGACGTATGACACCCCTTCGTCTGTAAGGAATCGGTGTGTATGTCGATCAAAGTCCGAGTTTAGAGAACAGAAGCCTACAGGTAGGCTGCATAAGCATGGGCCCCAGTCAGGTACCCATTAGACCCCATTTCTTACATATTAAAAACAGCGTTATTTTGGCTAGCCACGCCCCGTTAATATTTTAGAGAGAGATTCAACAAGGACAGAACAACTTGACAAGCCAGCCCACGCGATCAGTGTAGACTGCACCTATGGGTCACAAACAAAACTTTAGTTAGTCAATTATTTCAAGTGCATACTCACGGAGATTC